TAAACTTATTCTATTGAGAAGTTTGTGGAGAATACTACAAGAAAAATGATTAATTTTGGTGATTACACAGAATATATTGATTGAATTAATGATTAAAAGTTTTATTTAATGTAACAAATGACCCAAAAATGGCATTGTTAAATATTTTTGTTTGTGTTTAATAACTTGATTAATTATTTATGATTATGGTCTTGAGTTATAATACATTATCGACTTTACTGTATAAGGTGGCTACCAGGTTACTATTTGAGTGGACAGTTAACGATTTTAGGTTCATGTTCACTAAGGTCCGAGACTAAATAGTACCCTAATATCCCATAGACAACGCGCACCCAGTGTATAACGCGCAGTAAGAAATTTAACAGTATTTGTGAGTAAAAAATCATTTATAGATAACGCGCACCCCGTGTATAACGCGCATGTTCTACACTGTAAATTTCAAACTTATTATTGGTGTTTTATTAGGGCTAGAATGAACACGTGTTTTAATAATACAATGTAAAACAAAATATTGCAATTAATTGTAAAATTTAAGTTAAATATTCAAATGAATCTTTCAGTTAAACTAAATTTCGAAACTATAGCCTAAAGTTTTAGAGAAATGTGAAATTTTCATGTTTATAATTAGTTACTTTATTGGAATATATACTCAACATAATAATTAAAAGTTTTATCATTTATAACAATTTAAAAGTTATTTTGTTTTCTTAAAATTTAAAATTATATTTTTAAATTTGATATTACAAAATAATGATTAATTTAGACAAATAATATGTTCTGATTAGCATATATACATTATAGATAATATTATATGTATATTATTATGTAAAGTATTATTATGTAACTTTATATACTGTATATTATAGATAATAATAGTTAATTTAGTTCAAATGACAAAAATTAATCATTTATTTTGTAAATATGTGCAACAAAGATGTCACTAATATCGAGTGGTTGAACATATAATTTTAAGATTCAGAAAGACCCTAAATATTTCCTAAACAGAGGATTAAATTTAGTGCTAAATATTCTCAAAATTTCACCACTAACATTTTTATACATAACGCGCACCCAGTAGATAACGCGCACACCTAATTTTGGCAAGAATTCCACTTTTTTTAATAGATAACGCGCGCGTTGTCTATGGGATATTAGGGTAAACAATTGATTATACAGTATATTTGTGATTAATGTTTAGTTATACAGACACTAATGTAATATAATTGTTGAGAGTCCTTGTCTTATAATTATACTGACAAAATGATAATATAAAGTATTAATAAAATTAAAAATTAAATATAGATATGATGCACTTATAAATTTTCCATTACATAAAAGTATTTAAACAACATTAAAATATTTTTTTTATATATTTTAAAATATTATATTATTGTATAATACATTATATTGTATAATTATGTTCATGTAATTTAAATATAAAAGTAATTATCTTATAAGTACAGTAATTATCTATGGTAATTTCCATAAAACTTTTAATCATTAATTCAATCAATATATTCTGTGTAATCACCAAAATTAATCATTTTTCTTGTAGTATTCTCCACAAACTTCTCAATAGAATAAGTTTAATAGTAATCATGATCAATAAGCAAAACTTTGCAATTATACTTATAGTAATATTATCTAGCTCTAGCTTTAGCTCTAGCAGCGAGCTAGTTAGTGAAGGTATGTATTATAATGGTCATAAAGTAAACAATCAAACTAATTATGATAATTATAATAATTTATTTATACCAGCCCTTATCGGGAGGGTCACTAATACTACCTTGCTGAACATAACACTAATAGCTACAAACATAACCAGTACTACAACACACGTATTCAACGACTCAACAAATGGCCAAGGTAATATTGCAGCAACAGAACCTATTATAACAACTACACCATTGCCTAAAGTATACTAAACTCAACAACACCGGCAACAATCAAGCCTAATAACCCACCAATCATGCTCAAACCTGGCAACACGACAATAACAACGGCGCCCACCGCAGGCCCGCACGAGTACGCCGACGAAGACTCAGTGCTGGCCGGTTGGGGCCGCACTCAGCAGTGCTTGGGCTGCAGCGGTAACGATGAGCTCCTGGAGGTGTCGGTCCGGGTGTGGAATAACACGGCCTGCGCTGAGACACCGAATCTTAAGAAGTTTACAATTAAGGACAGTATGCTCTGCGCCGGCGATCCGGCCGGCGGTAATGACTCGTGTCAGGGCGACTCCGGCGGTCCACTCATGCGTTTGGATCCGGAGCTCAAACGCTGGCAATTGATTGGTGTTGTCTCGTGGGGTGTGGGCTGTGGTCAACCCAACTCTCCCGGTGTTAATACACGGGTTAGCGATTATATCGATTGGATTACTGAGAATACGATGGATTAAATTTGTATTTTTATTGTCATAATATAAGTATTATTAATATATTATTGTTTATTCTGATTATGATTAAATTTTATTCTACAGTTTAGAAATAAAATAAAAATTATAAAATATAAATACTACAAATGTTCTTCTTACTAAAAATAATATTGTTTACATAATTTGCAAATATCCTTGGTCGTTTTATTACAAAATTTTAATTTCATGTATACAATTTTGTATGAAACTTATTGCATAAATAAAACATTTTTTACAAATATAAAATTTAAACTAAATTATTAATTTTATAATGATAAATATAACAATAGAATTTATATTTATCTTGCTGAAAATTCAACTACCTTAATATACACGGTGTATTTAGGGGTATTTTACCTACTGTATTTTCTATAGGAATACATTAAACATTATAAACACATGTAAAGTGTTTTAGATTAGGTTTAGATTAGGCATTCATAAACAGCTTATTAATAAATTTGGGCGTTTAAACGATTATTACTTAAAAAGTGCACGTGCCTTTTTTACCACAAACTTGCCAATATCATAGAAGGCCAGTATGTTTAGACCAAACCATAGGCCCGACACACCGCCAATAATGCCCATATACTCTGATAACTCCATACGGGGTGAGTGTACGTAACGGGTGATTGGGTCGGTGGGTACGAGATAATGTATAAAAAACGTACTACCGTTAGCTACAGCTCTCTGATAGCTATCAAATGTATTCATTGTGTAGTAAACGGCGTGACAGTCGGGCCTACGGCCGATCCGTTGGGCACAGTGGTTGGCTATTTGTTTGTCCATGGTGCGATTTAATGGCAAACTTATCGGTGCGTAATTTAGTTTACCATCATATTCCTGGCGATATAACGTCCAGGGGGGCCAACTTGAAAATTGATCGCGGTAATATTTGACTCGACACTGGCTAACCCAATGTTTTTTCGATCTATACCCGATTGATGTGTAGTCGGCGCAACTGGTCCGGTATGGTGGGGGCAATCGGTTAATATCGATCTCTTTGTACGTTATACCGATTGCACCATAATGTCGGTGATCCAGACTTATGGCGGTCGACTGGCCCTCGACTCGGCCCACAAACGGCTCCCGCCTGTCGTGCATATAAATACTTGGCTCGCGTAAGTACCGGGTGTTCAGTACGAACCAAAACAGGCTAAACTTGTTTTCGCGAAATTCCGCATCGTGGTCCACGCGGTACCGATCGCTATCCGCTAATTGGCTGGCGTTTTGATTGAACAAGGTGAAACACTTGTAATAATTGTTAATTGACTCGACTATCGGCGATACTAAAGTGCAATGAACGTGGTTATACAGTCGGTCTGATACATTAGACAAGGCTAGGGGTGCCCGCACTCCGCATATGTTAAAAAACCGGTTGGCGCCGATCGTGCCGTTCAACAGCTGCTCCTCTAGTGTTAGGTTATAGAGGTATTGATTGTATTGCCATTTGTTTTCATTGGTGTCGGTTATGTTTGCCAGTGCCGTGTCGTTTGGGTACCGGTACCGTAAATAGTCGGCGTCAACCACGTAGCTAACATTAGTGCATATAGTGATCGCCGGTAGTTCCACCACTTGTGCTATATCAAGTACTGTAGATACTGTAGTTTCGTAACTAGTGTTGACAAAACAAGTTTTAAAAAACTATTAATAAGATTAATTATCGACTAAATTTTTACTTAATATTTATTAAACTAATTATAAGTTAAAACCAATTATTTGCATGTTAATTATATTTGTCTCAATAAATTGCTAATTTACTAAGATTATTAATTTAAAATATTTTACAATCCTTGTATTTATAGTGCATAACTGTTTATTTTCTATAATTAATGTTTAATTTACTATATAAAACAGAATTTATATTTTATTGTAGTTTTAATTAGATATTAAGGTTAACAATAAGATTAATGTATGTATTAAATAAAGTAATAAATAAATAAATAATTTAATTAATAAAATAACAAATATAAATTTTATTTATACCGAAAGTATATGACACTGATATCGACGATATGCCAAATGCAACCAATCAGTAACGCCAGGCATACGATGGCGCGGACGGCAAAGTTATTAACGTTTACCTCGGCTAACATGGTTGATGTTAGTTATATTATATAACTTATATATTGCGATCTAAATTATACTATTGGTATTTTATTATTATAATTATTATGAGAATATTTTACAATTTATATTTAATTTAATTTATATTAGCTTTAGTTATAGTAAACTTATTGTAAGTAAATACATACATAAGTAAACTAATTATATTATACGAAGGTTTATAGATTATAATTACAAATACTTCGCCTAATTTGAGGTAAAAGTATTAATATAAACTACTGATTTTAATATAAGCAACTGGTTGATAATATGTAATATAAAATTAATTTTAATTATGTGGCCTCGTTTACCTTGGGGTTGAAAAATATAAATGTAATCAAGAGAACACTTAATAAACAATAATTCAATAAATTATAATAAATAACAAAATTTACTATGAAACCTTGAAATTATTTAAAAAAAAAATTATATTGGTATTAAGTTAATAATACTAATTAATACTATTAACTAACTTTAAATAATATTCATTACAAAAAAATTTCTAGCAATTATTTTATAATTAAATGCATATTAGGTTTAAAACATACATTACCTATCGTAAAAATCTAATATGCCTACCGCGGCTCACTGCCGGTGCCAATAAATACACCGACAAATGGGTTGCAATGTTTGGTTGGCAGGTTTGGTTTGAAGGCATGAGTTGGGGCAGCGGTGGGGGTCCCCTCGTTATTGGTCACCCGATATCAATCTATGGCAAGTGATTGGTGTACATTGTAATAAAAAAACTTCCTTCTTTTGTTAACACACTGGTTAACCATTATATTAATTGTATTAACGAGATTAATTAAATTAAAATCAATAAATGTAACTTTTCAAATAATGTGCATATTTTACAACTAATAATCATTAATCTATCCATTCCACAAATAAAAAGTGTAATAATTAGTAATAAATTGTTTTCTAATAATTGAAAATTAAAGAATTTTACAAAATTTATTATTATTTAAAAATGTCCATAGTTCAATTATATTATTTTTAAAAATTTATTACTATTGCGAATACTTTATAATAGAAAAGGAGTATTGGATTATATGAAATTGTTTTTGTAAATGTTATTATGTTGTATTTTTAATTAAATAATTTCACTTTAATCGTTTTAATATTTCATAACAAGAATATTCAAATAAAAATACAATTAATTTATATATTTTAAAACATTTATAAAGTGTATTGTGATTATTTAACACTTATACTGTAAAAATAATAATATAATTATAGTGCTCTATTATTTCAAACTAATGTTATATAAATTTAATATTACAAATAATTTTTATTTATATTGTAGAGTAAAACAGTGGGAAATGTAAATTGTTGATAAGTTTTATATACTAAAACATAAATTTAAATCAGTGAATATAAAAAAATCTATGGCAATCAAGTGGGCCATAATAATAATAGGTGGACTTCTTTTTGCTACAATCAGCTATTTAACGCTACGCGACAAACCATCACCATGTTCAACTATTGATCCCAAATTACAACGTGTAAATGATTCTGGGCAGATAGCACATGGTGAACATGGGAACACCTTATATCCTATGCCCACACCAATGCCAACTATAAAACTATCTACACCTAATGTCACCAAGTAAGATTTTGTTCAATAATTTATAAATGTATATATTGTTTACAATATAACTAAACAAATTTTATATATAAACATAAAAATAGTCTATCATTAAATAAAATAATATATTATATTGTATAATAATAGACCGGAGGCCACACAACTCGTGCCATCGACTCCAACACCGACGGAACCAATACCGCGAGTATGCGGTGTCGCTAACGGCACAGGTGTGTGGCCGTGGAGGGCGCGCCTAAGTGTACGCAATCATTTGTACGAAAACGTCTGGAGTCTTTGCGATGCGGTGTTGATCGGCGCGCAGTACGTACTGACGACCGCCGATTGTGTCCACAGTCACTCGCACATCGGTCCGGCCGACCCGTACGATGTGTCCGTGTATTTGGATCACGACGATCGGGAGTATGGGTTGGCCGCTGTCCGGTCGCATAGCAATTATTCATCTACCGCTGGCTACGATATAGCAATTCTTAAGCTTAATAATCATGTTGAACTAAACGATAAAACGGGTATAATATGCTTACCGGCGCCCACCAGCGGCCCAGATGAGTACGCCGGCGAACCGGCGCTTCTGATTGGTTCCGGTCACGGGCGCGCATGTAACAACACGCAGGCGCAGTTAGCTGTGTGGAATGATAGCGCGTGCACAGAGAATCCCGATGTCAGGGTGAGGCATCACAGGCCAGGAGAGATGTGCACCGGGTTTGTTGATGGAATAGATGTAACTGGTTGGTATGGAGCGCCGCTTACTTATTTGAACAATGTAATTAATAAATGGATAGTTATTGGTTTGTTAGTTAGTGTTCCCTATGACGATACTCCCGGTGGTTATACTCGGGTCAGTGATTATATCGACTGGATTATAGATAATACCAGAGACTAAACTTCTGGTTTACCTTATTATGTTTTAATTTGACCGTCTTTTAATATGTTTAGCTTATTAAATGTATTAGAGTATTTTACCTAATACTAATCGGGTTGTTTTCTGTAGTAACATATATTACGATTTATAATCAGCATAATTATGTATTTTAATATTCTGTTTAATTAAATAAAAGTAATTGGAATTTTATTTGTTAAACGAAAATTAAATATCAATCACAGTATACATCCTTCGTCTATAGAGAATTATGGTTAAAAATATTTTTATTTAAAAATTTAATATTATAGCAAATATAACCAATTTAATTAATTTAATTTAGACAAAAACTTTTATATATAGACTACAAAATTAAATATACATTGTATGTATTGTATTGTTATAACCACAATTTGTTATATTGAAACAATTAATTGCTATTGATTAATTAATGTGTGTTAAAATTAAATTAGGCATCACCAACAAAATATAGATTAAAAGATGTCAATGAGTTAAGTTTATATTAAATAATTAAGGATAATTTATCAAGTTTTGTATTGTATAAACAAGGATCATCCAGCTAAATAAATTCTGGCGTTTCAACGATTATTAGTTAAAAAGTGCACGTGCCTTTTTTACCACAAACTTGCCAATATCATAAAAGGCCAGTATGTTTAGACCGAACCATAGGCCCGACACACCGCCAATAATGCCCATATACTCGGATAACTCCATGCGAGGTGAGTGTATGTACCTGGTAATTGTGTCGGTGGGCACAATACTATATAACAAAAAGGACGTATTTGAAATGTTAGTATCGTTAACCACTCTCTGATAGCTATAAAACGTATTCATCGTGTAGTAAACGGCGTGACAGTCGGGCCTACGACCGATGCGGTGGGCGCAGTGGTTGGATATTTGTTTGTCCATAGTGCGATTACCTGGTATACTCATTGGTGCGTAATTAAGATTACCATAATGTTCGCGGCGATACATCGTCCATGGGGGCCAACTGGAAAATTGATCGCGGTAATATTTAATACGGCATTGGCTAACCCAGTCTTTTTGGGATCGATACCCGAGTGACGTGTAGTCAGCGCATTGGGTCCGGTAGGGTGGGGGCAATCGGTTAATATCGACCTCTTTGTACGCTATGGCAATTATACCATAATGTTTGTGATCAAAATTCATGGGAGTCGACTGGCCTTCGACTCGGCCCACAAAAGGCTGCCGCCGGTCGTGCATATAAACGCTTAGCTCTCGTACGTATCGGGTGTTCAGCGCAAACCAAAACAAATTAAATCCGTTTTCGCGAAATGTCGCATCGTGGTCCACGCGGTACCGATTGTTGTCCGCTAATTGGCTGGCGTTTTGATTAAACATGGTAAAACATTTTTGATAATTGTTAATTGACTCGACTATTGGCGATACTGATGAGCAGTTGGCCCAGTCAAATACCGATAGGGCCAGGGGTGCGCGCAATCTGCAATAATTGAAGAACCTGCTGGCGCCGATCGTGCCGTTTATCAGCTGCTCCTCCAGTGTTAGGTTAAACAGGTATGACTTGTATTGCCATTTGTTTTCATAGGTGTCGGTTATGTTTGCCAGTGCCGTGTCGTTTGGGTACCGGTGCCGTAAATAGTCGACGTCTATCGCGTTATTAATATGAGTGCATAAAGTGATTGCCGGCAGTTCTATCACTTGTGCTCTATCAAGCACTGTAGATACTGTAGTTTCGTAACTAGTTTGTAAAACAGGTTTTACAAAGCTTTTAATAAAATTATTTCTTGATGAAATTTTAACTTAATATCCTAATAAACTAATTATAAAATTTTTATTTACATATTTGTCTAATTATATTGCTAATTTACTAAGATTATTTATTTATAATATTTTGCCATCACTGTATTTATTATAATAAACAGGTGCCTAACTGTTTCAAAAATTAATGTTTGCTTTATTATATAAAACACAATTTATATATAATCGTAGTGTTAATTAAAGATTAAGATTAACAATAATGTTAATGTACTTAACAAATAAAGTAATAAATAAATAAAGTAATAAATAAATAAAGTAATAAATAAAATAATAAATATAAACTTTAATTATACCGAAAGTATATGACACTGATATCGACGATATGCCAAATGCAACCAATCATTAACGCCAGGCATACGATGGCGCGGACGGCAAAGTTATTAACATTTACCTCGACTAACATGGTTTTACAATTAATATTTAATTACAAATTAATTTGAATTTGCTTTTGTTATAGTAAACTTATTCAAAGTAAATACACACATAAGTAAACTAATAATATTATACAACGGTTTATAAATTATAATTACAAATACTTTGCCTAATTCAAGGTATAAGTATTAATATATACTATTAATTCAAATATTAGCAACTGGTTGATAATATGTAATATTAAGCTCATATTAATTATATAATGGTCTCGTTTACCTTGGGGTTTAAAAATATAAATTTAATCGCCAGAACACATAAGTAATAAACTAATAAATTATAATAAAAGACAAAATTTAATATGAAACCTTGAATTATTTTCAAAAAAATTATTTTGATAGTAACTAACTTTAAATAATATTCATTACAGAAATCTTTCTAATTATTACTTTATAATTTATATGCATATTATGTAATTATTATACCGACCGTAAAAATTCAATATGCCTACGGGAGCCCATTGCCGGTGCCAATAAATACGCCGACAAACGGGTTGCGCCGTCCGGTTGGCAGAAAGTAGACGATTGTAACGATCGACTCCTGGATGTGGCCGTCCGGGTGTTGAATAACACGGCCTGCGATCGCAGTCTACAGGATGTAAACATTACGGACAATATTGTCTGTGTTGGCGATACAACCGGTTGTAAAGGCACGGGTTGGGGCAGCGGAGGCGGTCCTATTGTTTATTGGTAACCGAAATTCAATCGATGGCAATTGATTGGTGTGGCTGCGGATGGCGTGCCCTGTAATCAATCCAACAGTCCTTTTGTTAACCTTCGGTTTAGCCATTATATTAATAGGATTAATAAGATTACATTTAACATTACCATTATAAACACTATACAATTATCATTAATAAATCGTTAAATATTATGAAAATATATACAAATAAACAATTAAAACATGGCTTAAATCTCAAAACACAACACATACTCATCGGAAGTGTTGTCCACCAATTGATTGTCAGCACTGGAAGTGATATTGATTGTCGGCTATAGAAGGGTTAGCGGCTGTTGGTATAGCATAAATAAATGTTTTTAATTAATTGATGTATGTTATAATTAAATTAGACATTACAAACACAATATAGATTTAAAAAATGTCAATGACTTAATTTTAGATCAAATAATTAAAGATAACTTATCAAGTTTGTATTGTATAAAATATATTTTATTAAAGATTTACAATTATATCAAATATAAATTTAATATACTTTAATAAACCGGACTATAATCATTCACTTTAAATAATTTAAATATGACAAGTGAAGTAAAAACATTAGTGAAAATAATACAGTGTTTGTATAGTAAAAGTACTGGTGTTTTAACGATTATTACTTAAAAAGTTCATGTGCTTTTTTCACTAAATACTGGCCAATATCATAAAAGGCCAGTATGTTTAGACCAAACCATAGGCCCGACACACCGCCAACAATGCCCATATACTCGGATAACTCCATACGGGGTGAGTGCACATACCGGGTGACTGGGTCGGTGGGCACCGTACAAAATAACCGAAATAACGCATTACTATCGTTAGCTGCTCTATGATTGCTATAATGCTTATTCATCGTGTAGTACACGGCGTGACAGTCGCGCCTACGGCCAATCCGGTTGGCGCAGTGGTTGGCTAGTTGTTTATCGATGGTGCGATTTAATGGTAAACTCTTTGGTGCGTAATTTAGTTTACCATAATATTCTCGGCGATATAACGTCCATGGGGGCCAACTGGAAAATTGATCGCGGTAATATTTAACACGGCATTGGCTAACCCAGTCTTTTTGAGACCGATACTCGAGTGACGTGTAGTCGGCGCAACTCGTTTGATATGGCGGAGGTAATCGGTTAATATCGATCTCTTTGTACGATATACCGACTTTTACATAATCTCGGTAGTCCAGGATCATGGCGGTCGACTGGCCCTCGACTCGGCCCACAAACGGCTCCCGCCTGTTGTGCATAAAAATACTTACCTCTTGTAAGTACCGGATGTTCAGTCCGAACCAAAACAGGTTGAAATAGTTTTCGTGAAATGTCGCATTGTGGTCCACGCGGTACCGATCGTTGTCCGCTAATTGGCTGGCGTTTTGATTGAACATGGTAAAACATTTGTGATAATCGTTAATTGACTCGACTATTGGCGATACTGATGAGCAGTTGGCGTAGTCAACTACCGATAGGGCCAGGGGTGTAATATTTCAATATAAGCAACTGGTTGATAATATGTAATATAAAGTTCATTTTAATTATGTAATTTCTTGGTTTACCTTGGGGGTTATAAGTATAAATGTAATCATAAGAACACATAATAAACAATAAATAACAAAAATTACTATAAAACCTTGAAATAATTTTTAAAAAATTATATTATAATCAATTTATTGATTGTTTATTAAGTATTCCGTTGATTATGTCTGGTGTCTTGAAGTTACAATCGACTTATAAATTCATTAAACACCAAGGTTAATCTACTCATTAAATAATTAAAATAAACATTATTATTTATATTAGACCAGTTGTTCATTTTTAAATAAATAATTTATATTAATGCTTAGTCTTGAATTAAGCATATTAATTTTTTATTATAATTTATAAACCGTTTATAATAATATTTGTTTATCTACTATATGTGTATTTACTATTAAACTACTTAATAAACTATTAATAATAATAAAATACACAGAGCATAATTTATATTACAAAAGATACAACTTACACCAACTATGTTAGTCGACACGACCCGCGCTATTGTATACATACCGTTACTGATTGGTTGCATTTGGAATATTGTCGATTTCAGTATCATATACTTTCGGTATAACTATTTGTTAAGTAATTTATATTAACGTTAATGTTAATAATTATCCTTAATGAACAAGTAAGATCGTACAGTATATAAATTCTGTTTTACATGATAAACTAAAAAGACATAGATGTAGGTGGAAATCTCGGATTCAGTGCAAGTTATCAATAATATGTGTAGAGTGTGGTCACGAGATGACTATTCAGCCATTAAATCGTGCTAATGGCCACAGGCACCCGAGTTATAGCCAAATTTTTAGTCCATTACATACATTTCTATGCATTGAGAAATGATTCACATACATGTATGTCATGTCATTCACCAAAAAATATAATGCATTAACCCATGTAAAAGTACTTATAAATTTAGCCATACCTTGTCTTAAAATTTTACTCAAATATTAACAATATTAAAAAGTATAAATTTGTTTTGTCAACACTAGTTACGAAACAATAGTATCCGTAGTGCTTGAGACGGTTGAGGTAATAGAGTTGCCGGCGTTCACTATATGCACTCATGTTAGTAACGTAATAAATTGGGAGTATTTACGGCACCGGTACCCAAACGACACCAAACTGGCAAACATAACCGACACCGTTGAACACTATTGGCAATACTGGGAATATCTTATGAACCTAACACTAGAGGAGCAGCTGTTGAACGGCACGATCGGCGCCAACCGGTTCTTCAAAGCTTGCAAAGTGTTACAACCCAGAGCCTTGTCGTTATCGGTCCAGTATGTCAACTGCCCTCTGGTAGCACCGGTGGTCGAGTCAATAAGCGAAACCGTAAAATGTTTTACTATGTTTAGTCAAAACGTCAAAATGTCGGACAACGATCGGTACCGCGTGGACCACGACGTAATGTTTCGGGACAATTCGTTTTCCTTGGCTGAGTTCCGAATGGACGTCAAGTACTTACAGGGGCTGACCATTTATATGCACGACCGGCGGGAGCCGTTTGTGGGCCCCATTGGCGGCCAGACGACCGCCATGAAACTGAATCATCGATATTATTACGAAATTGATATTTCCTACAAAGAGGTTCATGTTGAACAATTGCCCCCACCTTACCGGACTCAATGCGCCGATTACCCACTACTCGGGCATCGGTCACATAAGCAACGCGTTAGCCAATGTCGAGCCAAATATTACCGTAATCATTTTGGCGGCTGGCAGCCGGACATGCTTTATAACAATGAATATTATGAATATGGAAAGTTGAGTTTTGAGAGGACTAGAAAGACATCAAATCGTGCGGTTGATAAACAAATAGCCGCTGACTGCGCCGACCGGATCGGCCGTAGGCCCGACTGTCACGCCGTGTACTACACTATGAATAAAATTAATGATATTAAGAGAGATAACAATGGAAAAGATATTGATAGTCAGTTCTTTATACAAATTAATATGCCCACCAACACAATCACCCGATACGTGCACTCA